TAACGGGCTAATGCGTTGTGTACACCAAGAATAATGTGGGCAACATGAAAAAAAAAACGCGAAAACTGAGACTATATATCGAGACAAGAAGTGACAGTAATGCCTGGATTATAATAGAAGTAACGGAATGGAGTGAACTGTCACTTAATTTGCTATTGTATGGGCAATGAATTCAAACGATTATAATGCACTTGAACGCAATGTAAAACGGAAGCATCTAAAATCAATAGATCCTTACGAATTCGCCGCGATTTGTTACGATTCGCCCCGTGCATTATAACCAAGGTATTACTGCCGAAATTTGACCACTTTTCTAGCTTTTTTTTTTAAACAGGTAGTAACATTAGAGCAAGGCGAATTTATACAAGGTGGTGTTAATGGTGAATTTATTAGCTTCAGGCGCTAAACGGTTAAGTATTATATCAAGTACTACTAAAAGTCTTATAAGCAACCTAGAAATAATTTTAGATTCCTCCAGCGAAAGCGAAGGCTCGGATGTAGAATCTGGAGACATTAAAAAATGTGAAATTAAAGCCCAATTGAAGACCTATCTTAAAGAAAAACGAGCTCATCTCGGTGAAAATCCTCTCGAATGGTGGAAAACTAAACTAAAATACGAGAAATTGACAGATCTGGTGCACAAATACTTGAGCGTTCCACCCGTCAGAGTTCCAAGTGAGCAATTGTTCAGTGCAGCCGGCCTTATATTTATACGAGCCTCTAAGAAATGGTCTCATGGAAGAAAAGGCAGCAAAATTCTTATTTTTGAAATATAAAATGCCCGTTTTGAACTTTGACTACTAGTTTAAAACACCGCACAGGTTAAGCACTCGTTCAATGTTCTAATAATTTACAAAATTCTTAAGTAATAAAAAACGTTCACTTAAGTTCATTATAAGTTTTTTTTAATAGTATTCCTAACATTCGCGTTTGCATTCGTGAATGCGAAAAATATGACATTCGAAACATCCCTAATGTACATACATATCGTCGCCTGGGTAAAAGATTGTCGTAACCGCCATTTTGACGATTTTTAGTTCTAGAAGCAGTCATATATTTTGAAATAAGGTCTTTCGATTGGTGGTATCAGTTTTTAGATATCTCCTTTAGTTTCCAAGATATTGACCACAAATTTTTCGATAATTTAGCAAAAATTTAGTTAGTGATGCAGTCATATTGAACTAATCAATATCTTAGAAATGACGTTCTCCATTTTTGTATATCTCCTTTAGTTTCCGAGATATTGAGTAAAAATTTAGTACAAATTTTGATCACATTTTGTCGTATTTCATACAAAGTGGCTGCCAAATTGCAATTGGCAAATGGCGCTTACGCCAAAATTTTACTAAAGAAAATTAAATAATTTAAGAGTTTTATGAACTAGTAACATTTTCAGAGACTTTGGTGAAAATCTATCTTTGCGTTTTTGAGAAATTGTATTCCAAACTTCAATCGCGATTTCCCATAACCTGCCGAAATTAACATACGACAATCTTTTACCCAGGCGACGATATGCATACATTCAGCGCGCAGCGAAGCCTTGCTCATCCGTGGCCGGCTAGTATTTTTATAAAAGAAAAAATCGAAAAGTAATTAAAATAAAAAACGTTGCATATATTGCGAAAGATTCTCTGTACCAATACTTTTGTGCGCCACTGCAAGTACCTATGCATGTACATATGTACCGGAAGGACAGATTATTGCAGGTAGAAACTATGCATAATATACAAACTATATCTACCTATGCATGTGTGTATGTAAACATAAATCATCAAATGGCCACAACTTTTATGATGAGTGAACAATATCGCCTGCGACTGGTCCAATGACGAAAGAAGCCATGCGGCGGAGCACATGTATCGATACACGCCGAATTGTGTATATAAATACATAAAATAGACACATACATATGTACATATGTGTTACGTTCTCTGGTTTTTACATACGTCTTTGATTACCTCCAACATTGGTGGGCCGACAACGTGGAACGTGAAACGGCATGGAGTCTAGTACGAAAACAAATCGTTGAACAGGTCAATTCGAATGAATATGTGCATATGTACCAGTGTTGCCATGTAGTTGAACATAGAAATCGTCAAAATGGTTCTCGTCCTTTAAAATAAACCGCGTCCGGAAAAAATTTTGTCAGCTGATTATTATACGAAAAAAAAAAATATATTAAACCTGTTACGAATTACAAAAAATCAACTTTACTTATAACAGAAATACGTTTAATTGCATTTAGATAAACATTCATACACATTATTCAATGAACTAAGCTGATAACAAAATTTCCTGCTAGAAATATTTCTTTAACCCTTGTATGTTGGAGGTACTTGCGTACATAAGCGATTATTGTATCGAACTTTTAAATTAGAAAATTGCCAATATGTACATATGTATATGGTGAAAGAACCCTTTTCCAAAAACCTTCGAATTCAAAAGAAAGACCTGAAATGAGAAGTTTGTTATCTACTTTTAGAATGCTTTTAGAATACATATATAAAAATCTTTTAGTTTGGGTTAAAGACTTTTGCGTTATAGTTTTAAAAGCCCAATAATAATAATATAATAGACAGTTAAAAATCTTCCAAATGACGACCAAATTTCAACTGGCAACACTGTTATGTACATACATATCGTCGATGTTTTTGCAAAACCGCCCATCGCCCAATTGCCAAACCGCCTATCTTACGGCACTCAAAAAAACGGTTTATTCTTTGAAGGCATTGCGTTGATAGGCGTTATTTTCTCAAGCTATTATTTTACAAATCGATAACGATTTAACGATTTTCATACATCGATGCCTGGAGTTCAGGGCTAGCAAATCTCAATTTTGCTATAACTGCGATTTAGGCGGTTTTGCAAAAACATCGACCATATGTATGTATGTATTTTAATATTTTAGAAAAGCTGTTTAGCCTTCGTTGCTGCTATCAGTTTTGTTGCTATTGCGTCGTAGGCCTACAAACTATCGCTCTTATATACATATTTATGTATTTAGCAAGCATTTGTTTATCTATTTAATATACATCGATGTACATAATTTTGCTTAAATAAAGTGTTTGTACACAGAAGGTAATTTGACTTTTCATATACATACATACATACATACATATGTATGTACATAAATAAATTGTCCGAAATTGAAACATTGAACAGATAACTGTCCATCTCCTTGCAGGATAACACAGGCAATGATAGCGAACCTTGATCGCTTAAAAGAAATGCTAAAAGCCAGCAATTGATTTGGCATACTGATTAAACAAAAAATGTGATATTTTTGGAGTACCTGCCTATAGCCATGACGTACGAAGCAGCATTCCTTTTAGAGCAAACATATCCACTTGCATTATATAACGTTATAAAAGTTATATATTTTAGAATGCACACGTACATACCTATGTACGTATTTCTATTTACATTAAACGAAAATTTAATGCGAGCTACGCACATACATATGTACGTACATACGTCCGGAGATACATACGGACTTGTATGCATGCGCAATTTCAGTTTAGTTCTTTGTTCCTTTTGCACTTTCACAGTGAAAACTTTTTAATTTTCGCAGTGCTCAAAATTAATGCATGCAGATTGTTCATCGCTCGGTATACATAAATATGTATGCACCATTTTCATATGGACACTGAATTTATTACAAACTACATACATACATACATACGTCTGCATACACGCTTAAAAGTTATTTATATTCCTATTTTGCGCATTTAGCTCAAGAAACTCAATTGCGTGAAATGGTAAGTTGCAATTGCCGTACTTGGAAGCATTGTGGCGGGGGTGTGCCCACCAAGTAACCCGGCCTTCGCAGACGCAGTTTCAAATTACATACCAAAAGAATTTAGCAAGCTTCTAATCTCGACTTATTTTGTATATAAGTACATATAAGTTTTTGTACAAATTTCACTCACCGCTGATATTTTTAATTGCAAATCTCAAACTATAGTTTAATCACTCCTTTTAACGAAATATATTTGACCGAAATAATTATCTATACGAACTGTTCGAAAATCGAAGAGCAACTAAAATGTCCATGATGTTTTCGCTTGGCTTTTCAGATATCCGCTTTCATGTATCTTCGCATTTGTACAATTGCTTTTATGATGTTGTTATTTTCGTTGTTTTGTTTTCGTCGTTTATTTACATTTACCTTTGTGTGTAATTCGTACGTGTCAGTGATGGAAATTAAAACTTTCTTGTAAGCATACCGAAAAAACTCTGACAAAGCATTGAACATAATTCTATAAAAACAGCATGATTCATTAAAAAAGGTTTGCTCAGAACAGTTTTCTCGCTCCCTTAGCTTGGCGCTGTGTGTGGCTGCGTTTGAGCTGGCAACCTTTTGTAAGGCAGTGTCAAAACTCTAATGTCACTAGGTGAGCAAATCTTTAATTATTTAATCATGTAAAAACAGCCCGATGAAAGTAACGATTTCCGTAACCTGAAAGACCTTATCTGAAGTTGTATGTTTACGCTCAGCAGTAAATGTATATGCAGTTGACTGGCAAAAAATTATCCAATTTGTAGGTACACACATGTGTGCAGATTAGGTAGTCCCTTTCCAACACTTGTACGTACTGAATGCAAGGAAAATATGCGATAACTAGCCCAGAGTTGCATTTTCGATAAGTGATATAAACTGTTTACACCTTCTAATTTTACAACTAACCACGTTCGTTCCGACAGGCTTCTTAACCGTAACGATCCGGATCTACATACAGGCGGGTTCGGCAATACACTTTCAAGCGAATTTCAACCTCTGCCAATTTGAATTTCAAAGCAAATTTGATTGAAATTCATTCGGGGAGTGAATTTCAGAACCTGCCTGATACTCTGGTCAATAGTGCACTTTTAAAGTAAAATGCTAGCGCTAGCATTCAGGAACTCCATCTTTTAGAGCATGTCAATATAAACCAAGAACTCAGACGTTAGTTTCTTTAAAGTAATACACAGATTGTTTCCTGAAATTATAAGAAAATGTATTTTTATATTTGGTCCAGGTGGTTGAACTTTTTTATTCCTGATCCTTTAATGAAATCTGATCATTTGAATTTATTTCTTCATTCCCATTGAGTTGATTTTCTGCAGATGAATCAGTATTTACTTTAGGTTTAGCACCCTTTCGTACAGGTAAAGTTTCCATTATAGCATCTGTCCAAGACTTCCCTTCAGTAACACGCATCAGTATTTCAAAAACTAAAATATATATTTGTATGAGATAAATTTAAATGAATCTATATCATG